TGCTGAACCCTTATTTCACATGTTGCTCAGCACTTCCTTGAACTTGGTATCACTTTATAGTGGTCACCTAAATCCACAGAAGGTAGTCTGAATATGAACCAGGCTGGCCAGGACCATGGTAGACCACTCATACTCTCTCCATGCAATACCAATTAAGCATTAAAGTAGATGTAAATATACTGAAGTGTATATATAAAAATATACCAGTTACAATTTAGTTCTCACTTCCCCTCTTGTCACTGTCTGTTTTTCTCCACCATTATTTACTTTCTTCCTGGTTTCCTTTTCTTCATCCCATGGCAGCTCTTTGGACTCTTGAGTTAGGCCAATAGGGGAGACCCGTAGGAACAGAGACTGCAAATAAGTGCCCAGGAGAGACTAAGAGAAGAGGAGCTGTATATGATGCTTCCACAGGCACACTTTCCCAATCTCTATTTTTCAGCTTTGGGGCTTTCCCAGCTTCATACTATTTGTCTAATAAGCAACACTTAACATAATTCTCTCTTGGCTCCTCACTGAGAAGCAACAAGTTTTTTCTTTAGCTACACCAGAAAGTCCATGTAAGAAAAAAAGGGGCCCATTCAGGAGTACAGGAAAAACAGTGGAGCCCTGGTAGAAAGGGTGGAGAAGGCTGAAAGGGAACATACGCTTATCAGATAGCAACACAAAACTGCTGCTGACTGCAGAAGCTGTGGAGGACCAGAGACTACTACTAGTGAAATTAGGTCTGCTGAAGAATACAGTTATCTTGCTGTTCTTTACTGTTTCTAATAGAGGGAGAACAGCTCTGAACAACAGCCTTCAGTACAATAGCAGCTGTCTAAAATAGATGGGTCATGAGCCAGGCCATCCAAGCCAGGGGAGGAGGGGAGTACAGGCTCCCACCAGAGCTGTGCCCCTCAACTGGGTACGCACCACTGGCTCAAGTCTTTGAGTGTGACCTTTGCTGCCTCTGACAAGTCCCAGAGAAACACAATGTTATGGCTAAAGAGTCGATGGGATTACCAGTCATGCAAACCAGAGGAGCAGGTATTTTTTAGCTCTCTGTACAGCACTGCGATGTCCAGTATTGGAAAGAAGCATCCCGAAAAAAAAACCCAGCCAACCAACCAACAAAAAAAACCCCAAACCAAAAAAAAAAAAAAAAAAAAACAAAAAAAAAAAACACAAAGAACCAACCCCACAAACAGAGAGAATACCTAGGATGGCTTGGAAGTTATTAAGGGCCTGTACAAATGCCTTGCAGTTAGACTTACACTTTGTTCTCTTTCATTTACCAGCTAGCAGATTAGAAAGGGACCTGCATATATTTAGAGGAAAAAAGTGTAAAATACAAGCATGTTCTTCAATCTAGCCAAAAGAGGAAATACATTGACAAGTCCCTGGAAGCTGAAGCTAATAAATGCAAATTAGAAACCAGGAGCAAGTTTCACAATGACAATGATTAACCACTGTGAGAAAGGATCAGCAGAAGTACTTGATTCTCCCACCTTGTAATATCTTCAGAGCAAAACTAGGTGTCTTTCTGGATGAAGTGCTTTCATGATATATAGGTACTTTAGTGAAATATAACAGCTGGTAACATGAAGGAAGTCAAACGATGATCTAAGGGTTTCTCTGTCGTTAAAAACTGTCATTATCAAAATGAGGAATTTTTGTGTAAATAAAAAAAAACACCGTATCATGAGCAAGATTCCCATTCCCATGATGGAGCAAGTAGAGGGACTGTGTCAAGTTGGATCAGTGTCAGGACATAACTAATAAATACAAAAGCAGGTATTTGGCCCCAAATGCTTACAAATTGACTTGGGCATAATGCAAAATCACAGGAAACAGGCCTGGAACTGGTTGTGAAAGAGATTACCTAGTCCCTTGCACAGTGACATGTCGTGATGGATTACAAATAAATTCATCCTAGGAAGCAGGACAAGTGTCTGTTCTTAAAGCCCCTAATCACAATGACCTCACGATATTTCCAGGAACTGTTTCATTGCTATCCCCTTAGTTATCCTGCTAATTTACTGTTGACCTCTGATTTTTTTTTTTTTTAACTTTTTATTTTCCCCCAGTTGTTCTCTATCTTTCCCAAGGTGTGAAAAATTGACAAAATATTCCAGAATATTTTCACCATTGCTCAGTAAAGTGGAAGGGTTAATACTGTGTGGTTACACTAATGTGATGTAAATGAGAATGCTCATTATGTCTGTTTACAATAGCATGAATTCACAGATTCTTGTGAACTTTATGATGCTTTGTAATCCCACATTTTTATTGTAGAGCTACTAGTTCCATGCTGTTCATTTTCCATCTATATATATTCTGTCTGCCACATATGCCCAGATGAGTGAACTACTTGTTCTTACTTAGATCTATATATTTAAAAGACATGTAGGTGTGGCACTTAGGGACACGATTTAGTGGTGGACTTGGTAGGACTTGGACTTGGCAGGTTAACGGTTGGACTCTATTTTAAGGGTCTTTTCCAACCTAAGTGATTATATGATTTCAGGATACGTCTCAAGTTTGGCAAAAATATTCTGATCCTCCCCCCTTAAATGTCTGTAACCTTTCCCAAAGGTGTAATATTTGTGTAATAAACAGGTCTACAGATGATTTCACCATCCCAATTATTTCAGCTCTAGTTGTGTCTGATAATTTTCATAGGGAAGCAGTACACACAGTGTAGGAAGTAGCATATGAAAGGGAGAGGTACAACAGATGTTTTAGAAGGGAACTGCACAAAACGTAATTTATGCACATGAGAAACTTCACAGATCAGAAAAAAAAGACACTTTTCCCCTTAAACATTCTTTCAAATAAGTCACCTCTTCCATGAAGTCTGTGAAATTGTGTTCTTTGAGAATGATTAATTTTTAGACAGATTGGTAGTAAATCATAGCTTCCTTCACTGAACTGCAACGCTGTGTTGCATTCACATTTGTTAGAGCCCAGGAGACATAATTTCACACCCACCGTAAAGGGAAGCAGACACTCCTGCTGGTTCTGCACCACGTAGAGGCTCAGCAGGGGAACACGGCAGGGGCCTGCCAAGCTGCATGCCAAGCAGAGTGTGTTTTCCAGAGCTTCCGACAGTACAGAGCACGTGTTGCTCCAGGAAGGGGATGTGACATCCACGACGAGAATCCGCGATGGCTGCTGGCAGGGGACTTTAGCAGCAGGAAACGTTCTCCGTGTTTCTGAGAGCAACTTTCTGGAATTCATGGCTTCTGAACATGGGGACTGGATGTCCAGCTAACCATCTGCATCTCAATAGGAAAAATTAACAAATAACAGCAATGAGTAAGACTCTCCCTTTCCCATTCACTTGAAAGCGACCTGAGACATAGCAGACAGTAATGAATTAGACCCCTACAGCTTTCTCCAAAGCAATCATTGTCCATACTTTAAGATAAAACCACACAAAGACACGGCCAGAAGACTAACTGGTTCAAGAAAATGCGTGGCAGATACACTGTTGCAGATGCAACTGCAGTTAAAAATGTTAATGGCCTAGCCATGCCCAGCCCATGGATGAGCTGTAACATGTTGCATGATCCCTCAGCCGTGTGGCATCAGTCTCCATCAGAGAAGTGATCTCCAGCAGCTGGTGGACAGAAAGAGTTTGAGCTCCTACTCCTACTTCTGCACTAGCCAAATGATTATATCTGAACACCCTGAGGATAACATAGTCCCCACTCCTTGATACCCAGTATGAGACAAGTAGCTGTCATATCCAAAATGGTCAGCATGATGCAGTAAGAAAATATTGCATATACATAAATTTTACTTTGTGGGTCCTGGAGAAGTGGCCTTTGTCCTTCAGAGTATCTAACCCCTGGGGTGAACCCTCTGCACTGACAACAGCCTCCGTGAATTCAGTGCTAAGGATGCCCAGCAGGGGCTCATACTGCTCAAGAACATGAGAGTGCTTCAATCCTTAAAAAAAATCTAATGTCAGAAACTCCAACAGAAAGTATTTTCAGCCAAACACCAGCTTTGATTTCCAAAGCCGGCTGGAGCTGCTGGGAGTGCTGTGTATGGTGGTGGCTGTGCTTGGTGTGCCACAGAGCTGTGCCAAATGAAGCAGAGATTTGTTAGAGCAGCTCGGTGGTGCTGTCAGGGTTGCACATAGCAGCTTACCCAAGGAAGGAAAGGAAAGGTGAGAGCTCCTCAGCTCCCAGGCCCCAAGAACACATGAAGAGAAGTGGATCTTGTTGCAGTGCTCTGGGAAATCACGGGTCCCTTTAGGCATGTGAACAGAGCATGTGTTCAGGACAAGTTTCACCCCCACCTCATTTTGTGTTTCCTTTCAAATACCCATCCTTTCACAGAGCAGCACCACTATGTATCTCTGCCTGCACAAGACTCAGATGGTGCTGCTTTCCCAGACTTACCCACAATCTTTAAGAAAGTGTGACTGTTTCTGTGAAATAGTAAGTGAGAAGCAAACAAGAGGAGTGTGGTGTCAGGTCTTGTGTCTTTCCCGTGCCTTGTGTACAAAGCAGAGGAAGCCACTCAGCCCTGAGCCCAGAGTGAACACCTTGTGGTCTGCCTCAAACGCTCAGAGGCAAAATATTCACCTGCACTCATCCTCAGACCTTGAATATGACATTTGGTCCCTCCCCAGTTTCCCTTCAGTGCATATATTTTAAGCACAAGTGCTAGTATTTTTCTGTTAAAAAAATATTTTTCTTACTTTGTCATGGACAAAGATCCTGCCTCAAATATTCTCTTCACTAAGTCAAAACAGATCTGCATGAAGCACTCACTGCTCTTTCTAAGGATATAGAAAATGTGTCTTGGTCTTGGTAATTACAGCAGTATGAAGCCATACAAGGCTATTTGTGCACAGAAAAGTATTTCTATAATTGTGCATACCTTCTTCATATGAACTAGAATAAATTATTTTCCTACAGCTGTGCAAATCCCCACCATGTTTAGTAAAAGTTTGAAGCGCCCCTGGATTTTCACAGTTGGTTGGGCTACACTCAGGACCCAGGCCACTGTGCATTTCTGTGGTGTGTTCAGCTGAGACAAACATTCACTAGGGAGACACCCTGCCCTATTTCCTACACCCGCCAGCACTTTGGAGTAAGAATTTCTGTAAGTCTTACAAAGAGCAAGACGTGTTTCTCCTTAAGTGTCATCAGAAAAAAGAACTCTGTGTTTCTAGGATGTTTGTCAGTGAGGGCAAACCAGAGTGATCACAAACTGAATTTCAAAACTGAGGCTAACATTTCAGAACTGGTGAAAAGGTTATCTGCATCCAGATGATGTACATGTGTGCAGGTACCTTGCTTTGACTAGTAACCTGATATAACTTGACTAGAAAATGAAAAACTGCCAGATACCACTTCGATTAATCAGTGTCTCTTCTGCAGCTTTACAATTTACAGGAAAGATTTCTAAATTATTTGACTGAATCTGGGAAAATACTTATCTGTCTGTATTTTTTGTGAGGAGGCTTCATACTACCGATCTCTGCTAGCCTCTACTGCTTCCCAAACAAGGGAGCAGACCCATCTGGCAGTCAGAAATCTGGAAGATCTGGGTCTTTGATTTGCATTGGTTTTGGAGAGAAAAATGAGCCTTGATTCTGAAAGAGAGAGTTTTCCTAAATTGGAGTGAATTCTCTCGTTCTGGACGGTGCACAGGACTATGCTTACTTAAAATGCTTTAGTAAAGTGGATCCTCCATCAGCTATGCTCTTTATCAGCTGAATGAGTTTCATTTCCTCATAACTGTGGTGTCTTGATCTCAGGTTAGCAATATTTATATGATTTATATGCAGTTCTCTGTACAGTGTTTGACCTACAGTGCAAACTGCCCACCTCTCTTACAGCCTACACCAGTTACTTGTCACCCTGATGAGGCTCAATTAGTGAAGAATTCTGTATAATAGTCTAACTGGTTGCTATGGTAAAATGTCATCTTCATTTAAGCAGCAAGTGAAGTGACAGAGAGCCTGGCCTAAGGGATTACACCATAATTCTTCGTGCAAGTGAAAACTGTTAGTTCTAGCAGCTGACACGACACTAACTTATTGCTCAATAAAACAGAACTTATCAGCTGTCAGAGCCCATTGCTAACGCTGATGTACATTTTGCTCAACACAGGAAGATGTACATTTTCCAGAGCTAGAAAGTCAGAACAGAAAGAAAACTTTGCCATATTGAGTGACTTGTGAGTGCCGATGACATTCTGCAGTTGCATATTATCCTGTCTTCTTATTTTGCTCCAGTTACACAAAACCATTAAACAATATCCAAGTCTAAAAAAGTGTAAATGAGAGGCAACATCAAAACACTGGTTAAAGAATACTAAGGACAGTCTCCATCTTCTTTCTATATTGGAACCAGCAAAACTTGGACCCAACCTTACTCTAAGTGGGAAGAAAAAAAAAACACAAAAATGTGAATGGTGAGTTGATGGTAAGAAAGCCTCACTGGGCAGCTGAGCCCTGCAGTCCTGCAGCTCTGAAGACATCTGCTCTGACATCAGTCCATTTACGAAGCAGTAGGGAGTAAAGCCAAGCAAACCCTGAGATGTGCTAACAGCGAATACAATCTATCGGCCAGGAGATGTACACAAAACAGGGAATAAAAGGTACCAACGAGAAGTACCAGCAACAGTTCAGGACAATACAAACTTATCCTGTCACTTATGAAAGAGGAAAAGCTACTTCTTAGCCACATCAAGAACAAAAGACAGACTCGAAATAGTATAAACCTGCAGGTAGCTTATAAGGATATGATTTTCTTTAATGATGTAGAAAAAGTGTTCAATAAATATTTTGATCTGCATTTGAAAAAAAAACAGAGATCACTAATTATTATCTTTCCATTAGTGGTTAGAGAGGATATTAACCTTCAGGTGCTAGGACTGTGAGTTTGACGTTTCAGAAAGGGCATCTCTATGCCCAGGAGCTCTTTGAACTATTCCTCTTAACCTTTAACTCCTCAGAGCTGTGCCTGTTCCAGAGTAACCACAATGCCCTCATTTAAATAAAGAGCAGGCAAAACAATTCAGACAGCAAGAGCCTATTCACCATAATGTGCACACCAGGCAAATTCACAGAAACAGTGACATAATGCTGTCAGTAACAAATTTTAAAACAGCTGTGGATTACCTATAGGCCTAGGTGGTCAAGACAGGAGTGTCAGCAGAGTCTGATTTGCCTCTGTGAAGCATTCCGTTTAAACACACTTGTTTTTAGTCACCCTATCACTATAAAAAACAATTAATCCCCTCAAATAATAGATTAAGAGCTCATTATCGGAGAAACTGCAGATATCTGTAAATAAGGATTATTCAGCAAAATGTTTCCACTGCAGTTACACACCAATCCATTTTCTAGTTAATTAGGTAGAAACCAGATAATACACAAAAATTTACCTTACAGAATTTACATGACACACACACACTGACACTGCAAAGCAGAGTAACTCATAAGGGCTTAACACAATTGCTTACCAAACTGGCTCATTTGTGTGCTATGCACTGTAATACATCCAAATCCAATTAACCAGAAGAGCAGCAGAGGCAGTGAAAGGTAAGAGCTTACATTGCCTTCAGCTGGGGAAGTCCCTGAGCTGTGGGTAGTCGGAGGCAGGGGGAGCAGCAGCATTGCTGCACGTCCACCCTCTCCCTACACTGCTCCCAAAGCAGCAGCTGTGGGCCACAGGCTCAAGAGGAGATGGATCTGGAGTCTTACTCTGCAGCACTATTATCATTTATTGATCATCTGGAGTCTCAAACTAGGTGGTTTAAAAACATGCCATTCTCTAGGTAAGCTTCAGGACCCTGGGAAACACTAATATTCTCATGTGGAAAATGGATCAAGCTGCATGAGTAAGTGGATTTACTGAAGAAAAAAACAGCAAGCCATGGAGAAGCCTGAGCTATGAAGTGGCTACACAGTGCAGATGGCTTCTGGTTGTTTCTTTTTGTCTATCTAGCCTAGAAAGGAAGGCATTTATTTAAAAAGGTCAGGATGAACAGAATAAAAACAAAGAAAAAAAGCATAAAAACAAGCTACCAAAACCAAAGTGATTCAAGATCTTTGTTCTGTCCCGGTTAGAAGGCAGAACTGTGTCCCACCTCCCTTATCCCTCAGTTTCCCAGATAGAGAGGTAAATAAGGAAGGCAGGGGTAGTGAAAACCTTGCACCAAATTGAAGATTAACAAAATGAAATATATTATTTAACAGGGATCAGAAAGGAAGAAGGGAAGGGGTTTAACAGGGTACAGAAAGGAAGAAGGGTAGGG